ATTTTATTATATAAGAACTGTGAAACTATCATGCTTAGTGGTAGATAAAAGTTTTCCTAAATTCTGATTTTCACTTGAAAGCACAAATTTTATCACTGGCAACAAATATTGTTAGCTGTTTTTCTTAAAGTGATATGTTCATTTCATTCATTTTCGAGAAAATGGTTGCCAAAAACCCAAGTCTGAGTAACCATAGCAGTCAGTCATTCTTTCAAATAAAAATGTTGTTCCATGAAAAAAGTGGCTAGTTTAGCTTGCAACTCAGATAATCACACACACGTTTTTCCTCAAGACCATGACGATCACACTTTAAGGACTTTATGCATACTTCCCATTTTGTCACAAAGAATATTAAAAGATACGGACTCAAGGGCTGAAATTTAATAACATTAACAGCTTTTATTACTTCATCAAGTCCACTCTTAAGTGACATAAGGCTTTTTCACTGCTGTAAGTAGGTGGCAGTGAAGAATGCAATGGCTACTAGTAGAGTTCAGTGCCATAGCCCTGAATCACGTGAAGGTGCCAGGAGTTCTACCCTCCACTGCTTTGTACCATCAGGGCAAACGTCAACAGTAAAAAAGGCTAATAATGTATGATTATAAAAATAGGTTTGACCCTGAGGACCCCCTTGAGAACTGCTGCCCTAACAACACCTCTCGTGGCCATGGCTCCTTTTAGAACACGGCAGAGGCTCAGAATGAAGCCACTCCTCCATAAACCCCACAACTAGCCCACTGTCATTTGTTTAAATGTTTCTGAAGCTCCATAAAAGCTAAGATTCTTCAGAATACTTCTTCTGACTTTTCCTCTGAAACACAAGGCCAAAAAAAGGATGATCAGAAGCAGAGACTATTAATTAAATTTATGGTGTATATCTCCAAGCCAGTCCTATATGGTAATGATAGAAAGGAGGGGCAACAGGGAAGCAAGCTCAAGGGCAGGAACAGCCAGTAAATCTTGGCAGGAGAAACACCATGGAACGGAGCTAGGTGTGCCTGTCTGAGACGCAATTAGGCTCCCTCTCAGGGATGCAGTGCAACAGTGAATATAAATGGCAGAGGACCTGAGAGAAGCCACAGCATGTGATAGAAGAGACAAAGACATGGCCTAAGGACAGTGGGCAGCTTCAACCTTAATGTTTTATACTTCCCTCAGGTTCAGTCAAAAGGAATCTAGAGACAAAGAAGTCAACAAGGCCAGTGCGGTGGCTCACGCCTGTAGTCCCACCACTTTGGGAGGCCAAAGTGGGAGGATCGCTTGAGGTCAGGAGTTCGAGACCAGCCTGAGCAACATAGTGAGACCCTGTCTCTACAAAAAATAGAAAAATTAGCCAGGTGTGGTGGTGCACACCTGTAGTCCCAGCTACTCGGGAGGCTGAGGCAGGAGGACCACTTGAGCCCAGGAGTCTGAGGGTGCAGTGAGCTATGATTGTGCTACTGCACTCATGCCCGGGCAACAAAGTGAGACCCTGTCCAATAAAAAAAGTAAATAAAGTCCAAACAAATACCCTCTGAAAACTATATTCAACCCAAATGCAAGAAGAACAACAAACAGCATTTTTCTCACTTGCAATTACTCAGCCTGGACTGCACCTAAACTGGGATTCTTAAGCCCAAGTTACTGTCAAGGCCATGCAATGAGTCAGTGGAATAATGAAGCTAAGAACAAGAATCAGAATGTCAGACACTATCCAGCAAAATGCTTCCAAATCCAACAGGAGACGTTATTGTTCATGGTCTTCATGCTCTCAGGGCCTCTAGGATGAGCCAGATCTCAGGAGGGGTGGACTGAGGAGCACAGGGGGTCGATGGGTCCACTGATTCTGGAGTCAGTGGCTGGCAGTGCGCTCATTCCAGCTTTCCTGGCTGGGCCACACTGCAGCCACACCCGAGGCTGGCCTGCCAGCACAGAGTGCTATTCCTGAGACTTCGCTGCAGGGGGGACTTCAGCTGTGGACACATGGCTGCCCTCACTCTGGGAGTGTCACAAGCATAACCATTTTTCATAACCATTCAGTAATGCTCAAAAGCATCCCACGGCCCAAATCAAAATCAATTCAGAGAAAAGAACATAAATTGAGAAGACACTCCCCTTCAAATCTACTCTGTCCCCCCTTCAAAGAGTTTATATTTGCTGATGAGAAATGGGTGATTTCTTAACACACGTCATCCTGAGAACGGAGATGTAAGCCCTGGTTTGCCTATGTGACTTCCTGCTTTTACATTCATTCTCAGAAGAGGTCCCATGCTGTCACCTGGTGGAAAAAACGAGCAACTACCTAATGTGCCCCAGGCCAGGACAAAAGCATCCATCCTGATTCCATAAAGTTTCTCCTTACTTCACATACTGGAGGGCAATGCTGACCCCATCCTGGACCTCACCTGCTGTGCCGTCTGTCCCAGGCAGGGAACTTTACTAAGATCTTCAGCTAAGGACCAACCTCGGGTGGAGTCAGTGGTCACTGAGACAGTCAGTCACCACGGCAGACCCCAGCCGGCTAACACAAGACAGAGCAAGAGAAGAGAGTGGGGCAGGAAGGGCCAAAGAGTTCACATAGGTAGCAGGACAGAGCCAAGAAGAAAAATGCAGATAAACTTTAGCAACTGGAAAACACTGCCCTTGGGATTTTTTTTAACATTTTCAGCCAAATAGCCAGGAAAACTAACTTGGAAATACTGAAGGGTATAAGACAAAAAAGTTAAAAGGTCTCACTGCATTATATTAACATAAGAAAAAAACCTATTCACTAAGTTACAAAAATAATAAAACCACCTTTTAATATAACATGGACAGGCCGGGCGCGGTGGCTCACGCCTGTAATCCTAGCACTCTGGGAGGCCGAGGTGCGTGGATTGTTTTAGCTCAGGAGTTCGAGACCAGCCTGACCAAGAGCGAGACCCTGTCTCTACTAAAAAATAGAAAGAAATTAATTGGACAACTAAAAATATATAGAAAAAATTAGCTGGGCATGGTGGCGCATGCCTGTAGTCCCAGCTACTCGGGAGGCTGAGGCAGAAGGATCGCTTGAGCCCAGGAGTTTGAGGTTGCTGTGAGCTAGGCTGACGCCACAGCACTCTAGCCCGGGCAACAGAGTGAGACCCTGTCTCAAAAAAAAAAAAAAAAAAAAAACATGGACAGAAGAGGAGAAAAAAGACAAGAATATCCCTAATTATTCTCAGGAGGTAGATTTTTATTTTTTACCTTGGGTTTTTGTGTTTGTGGCAGGATGCTTTATTAAAATTTTAATTGATATTTTGTTTTTTGTGTTTCCTTTACCCCAAGAAGGAAGGAGGGCCTCCAGGAAAGGCTATGCAGCCAAGCTAAAAGCAGAGGCTTTCTGCAGACGACATTCCAGCTTAAACTCACTGAAAAGAATTTATCACAGAGGATATTCCAGCGGGGAAAGAAATGAATCCAGTGCCTTTGAGGGAAAAAAATGAGAAGAGAAGAGAAGAAGGGCTATCTCCCAGGACTAGAAAGAAGACAAAAGCAGGCACAGGCCACACTCAAGAAGCTGGGGAGGTCTAGGGAGCTTGGCTGGGGCCCCCAGCCTGTGCAGGACCGACGCACACAGGCCGCCCGGCAGCAGGAGTTGCGTGAATCTAGACAGCAAGAATCATGACGTAACTATCCTGTACCAAAACTGAAGAGATCTTCCAGAATACTGTGCTCTAAATAAGAACCCAGGATCTTACCTGACCCTGGGGGAAGCCGTGAGGTCATGTTTAATTCAATTTAAAGAAATAATATGATATTAGTTATATACCAACTTCGTGAAATAAGATTTGTAGCCACTATAATGCTTTCCAAATTTCTAAAGATAAATCCATATTACCTTTATAATCAGAAAAAAAGGTCAACAAACTTTATTAACCAAAAAACACTATTTCTTTTTATTAATTGGTAATAAATCATCTGCCTTAAAGAATGTTAATATCAGCATTAGGTGTACGATTTCACGGATCCAGGGCAGCTCTGGCCTTCCACAGAGCACTGCTCCTCAAACCCCTGCGGTCTGAAAGTCCCGTTTGAGCCATGGCAGCCTGTGGCAGACATTATTCAAATAGGCCCAGAAACATACGAAACGTTTTCTTTGTACCTTTTTTTTTTGAGACAGAGTCTCACTGTGTTGCCCAGGCTAGAGTGCCGTGGCGTCAGCCTAGCTCACAGCAACCTCAAACTCCTGGGCTCAAGCGATCCTTCTGCCTCAGCCTCCCGAGTAGCTGGGACTACAGGCATGCGCCACCATGCCCAGCTAATTTTTTCTATATATTTTTAGTTGTCCTGATTAATTTCTTTCTATTTTTAGTAGAGACGGGGTCTCGCTCTTGCTCAGGCTGGTTTCGAACTCCTGAGCTCAAACAATCCGCCCGCCTCGGCCTCCCAGAGAGCTAGGATTACCGGCGTGAGCCACCGCGCCCGGCCTTTCTTTGTACCTTTTTTTCTGACTTAGGAGAAATGGTTGCAAAATCAAGGAGACGCAAAAGGGTTATAATGGCAGGACTATTTAAATATCAAATAGTTTTAAAGGTTCTTTCTGGCATCAGAGACTCATTTTAAATTAATACCGACACATCTATTTTCAAAGCGTGTTAAGTCAGCAGGAAGGGCTGCTTTACACGTAGCCATCTCCAATGCATTATACCTCCTGTTCTCACAGTAAAGTGTCATCTGGGCCTTCCAAGACAAGATTTTCTTTGTGACTCAGTTATGCGAAGGTGAAAATCACAATCACGGGTGGAAATGAAATGAATCATCTCAACAAGCAGCAGCTACCCCCAAGCCTTACACCCCCAGTCTCTGTAGTGTTCAACACCTGCTTTTCTGCCCAACAGCCCCCGCTGCTCTTACAAAGTGGGCCTCCAGGACTCCCCCAGCCCGTCCCCCAGGAAGACGGCACCTTGAGACTCAACAGGCCTGCCCCCGCCTCTCAGCAGTGCCCCGCATGTGGGCTCAGGGAAAGCTGAGCAGGACAAAAAGAGCACGAGGGAACTTGCCTTTTCCATCTGTTGCTGACGCTTCTTGTAAATGTCTGATTGACCTAAAAATAAACATTTGGAGAACAAAAGGTTAGCTGACAAATTTGCATTCCTCTCTATTTCCAGCACTAGTAACTTGAGGCCTTGAATTCCTCAATTATAAACTGAAAGGTTGGACTAGATAATTTTAGAGCACTGTCCCTAAAAAAGGGATCTGGTATAATCAACACTTGGCCATGTATGGTGCTCAAGGCTGAGAGGTAAAGACGCCTTCTGCTGGCGAACATGTAAGTCTGCAGCTGCCAGAGTGTGAGGAGAAAACACACTTTAACACTCCCACCCTCTACTGAGCTTCTCATCCCCACGACCATGCCCCCACCCAACACTCCTAAGACAATGAAGCATCTCTGAGCTCACCTGCCATGGGAGAGAATCGACCCTAAAGGAAAGTCACAGGATGACTTCTAAAGTCTAGGTCCAGGACCTAGGGACACAAGGCTTCCTGCAAGTTCATTTCATTGAGTGGAGATTTATAACTCCGCTGAAAAATGCCAGCCTACAGGGAGTCTTTTTTTCGGCTATGATGGGCCAGTAATTAACTACCATCATGACAGTTCAGGCAGGGGAACAATAACATTATTAAAGAAGCTGAGATCAGAGTTCTAGGCACAGTCCAAAGCCACAAATGGAGAAACTGCCCTAAATGGTGAGCAGGGTGCAGGCAGACAGGACTGCGACAGGGAAGGGAGCCGGGGTCTGACACTGTCACTCTTGTTGGCAAAGAAATCACTTCTCCTAAAGCCTCAGTTTGCCCACCTGCGAGAGTGGGCTATTTGAGAACTGAATGGAGCAGCATTGGGAAGTTAACCAGCACAAAGCTGGCCCTGAACCAATGCTGGCTGAATAAGAATATTTAAAATATTATTGATGCCAATTCTTAAATCACTTCTCTAGTACTTACTGATCTTTTTTTCATTTTACAGTAATTTTCAGGATATTTACCTTAAGGAATCTTGCCATTTGACATCTACTCATTAGTGCTATAATTAACAAGTGGCAGAAAAGGACCACTCGTACCTCTATAGCTCGTCTGGGTTTCTTCTATTTGACTGTTCTAACAGTGGTGTATGTTAGAGTAGAGTCTCCACCTCTGTTCCCCAATAAGATGCTCTCTTCTATCTGGAGACGATGCTGGCCACCCCATGTTACAGATGCCCGAGCCGAGTTACTTATTCCTGGGCAGGATGGTAGAGGTTGTGGTGATTAAAAAAACACTTCAGTACTTCCTCCTCTATGCTGGTAGCCGTCTGCTGAACTGACACAGACCATGTGTGAAGTACGATGGGATTAGAGTGAAGAGTGAACCTAACTGGCTGGAATGAGGATTATGCCCCACGGGCACCACGTTCTAAATAATCAGAGTAACTGACAAACGCCAGGATCCTAAAACATATTAATTTACCGCATGGGCACTGCAACACGAAGCATCTCACTTCTAACAGAAGGCAGGCAAATCTATTTCTTTCAACTTTATTTCAAAAGAATTAATTACATTCAAATAGCCGTGGAACTACTAGATCATTAAAGGTGAACTGTTTTATTCTTGCTAGCCTTCTTTCCTCTACTAGGTTCTTACTGAACCAAGAAGGTCCATCACTTTGCATGTGATTTAACAAGGATGTTCTTTCTCATCAACCACTGACTGGGCACTAACACTTCTTTCCATGTGATCAAAGCACAATCTATGCATTTAAACTGCCATTTCCAGGAACGGAGCAAACCCTTCTGAAGATACTGAAAATGCTTATGTGCTGAGAACTATCACTAGTTTTGTTAATGTCCCTCCTCATTTTCCATGTAACTTGGCAAGAAATGGCTATTTATGGGATTTCTCCAACTCCTTCCCCCCTGAATTCAGGCTGCCATTTTATGTTGCTACTAAGTTCCCATTTCCCAACTCTTTTCTGCTGTCTTAGAACTGTGCTAAATGGCTCTCTGTCCTTTTTCGGCATTCAAGATGTAAAGTGAGGACATGATGAGTCCTTTGGCGTGAAATTCCAGATTTCCCTGGTTGTTCCGGTAAGAGCCGTGATCGATTGTGCTGACAACACAGGAGCTAAAAATCCGTTACATCATCTCTGTGAAGGGGACCGAGGGACGAGTGAACAGACTTCCTGCTGCTGGTGTGGGTGACATGGTGATGGCCATAGTCAAAACACGCGAACCCCAGCTCAGAAAGAAGGTACATCCAGCAGTGGTAATTCGACAACAAAAGTCATTCCAGGGAAAAAATGGTGTGTTTCTCTATTTTGAAGAGAACACAGGGGTCATAGTAAACAATGAAGGCAAGATGAAAGGTTCTGCCATCACAGGACCAGTTGCAAAGGAGTGTGCAGGCCTCTGGCCTAGGACTGTGTCCCATGCTGGCAGCACTGCATGATTCTCCTCCAGTATATTTATAAAAAACATTAAAAAGTAGTTGCTCCTCCTACCCCTGCCTCAAAAAAAGAACTCTGCTACATGACCAGTCCACGGTGCCAGACTAGCTCTACCAGAATCCCCTGGGTAACTTGATAAAGACACAGGGGCCTGCCCCTGGAGACTGATTAAAGTCAGTCTGGGACCCAGGAAGCTCTATTTTCAAACACATGTCCTGTAAGATTCAGATCAATTTGGGAATGGCCAGTTCAGCTGTCGGGCTTGACAGCCAAGCTGTCCCGTCACACAGACTCCCGCCCCGTGGGTTACTCACCACACCACTGGGAAGAGGATGGCTCCACAGCACAGCAGGTCAACCAGAAACAGAGAGTCCTTCCACAAGCCATACTCGGTGGTGCCCTCCTCAGTGGACTCTATGATGATGTAGGCTACATTTGCCAGGACCTGCGAGACACAAGATGTTCCTGAGGCCCCAAAGCATGGGTGGATTGTCATAGTGACAGCAGCCCGAATGTGGGGTGTACATGGGCCTACAGACCCCCAATCTGTTGTCACAGCATTATTTCCAGTCCTGTGTGCAATTCCAGAACTTTACCACTTTGCTATTAAGAAACAGAGTCTCTGTGCTGTCCCCTTGAACCTGGGCAGGCTTGTGACTGCTCTGACTAATACAGTAAAGCGGAAGTGATGCCATGTGATTTCCAAGGTAGATACAGCTTCTGCCCAGCTCTCTCTCAGGACCTGTGGAGCCCTGGGCTTGTAAGAAGACTAGCTACCTGAAAACGCCATGCTAGAGAGACCATGCAGAGACAGAAAGACACCCCAGGAACCCGAGCTGTTCCCAACCCAGGAGGCAGATGCAAGTGAAGACTTCAAGGTGCTCCCAGCCACTGTCGAACTATACCCACATGAAACCCCAAGCCAGACCTACTCAGTTAAGCCACTCCCAAATTCCTGACCACAGAAACTGAGAGAAAAAATTAATGTAATTGTTGTGCTAAGTCACTAAGTTTTGGGGTGATCTTTTACATAACAATAGATAACCAGGACACCTCGCCTTTTAGGCACCCTGAGCCCCAGCAGTCACTCAGGTGCTGGACAGGTGGCGCTTTACATGTCATTTAGCCATGATGCCCACACTCCTTAGGCCCAAAGGCCCAACTTCTCCAATAACTCTTCTAAGTGCCAAGTAATGGGACTGTGTTATCAGACACTCTGTATCTGAGCTTCCTCACTAAGAGCACTATTTTGTTACAGGACAAATGGATGCAGAAGAGAAAGCAGTATTATATGTCTCCCTAACTTTTCGGCAGCTCTCTAGTCAAAGTTGAGGCATCCACAGGCCAGTTTAAAGATACTAATGGTCAAATGTCTCCCAGTCCAACAACTGGAAGTCTAGGTCTGTCGGAATTCAGAAAGAAAATACCAATCTTCAACCCCCAATGGCAGAAGCTGCGGTTTCTGGGAGAGGTGACTCCCTCTTCCCACAGAGGCATAGAGCTGAGCCCTGCTAAGTGCCTAGGGAGAAAGTGACAAGCAGGATTAGGGTTCCTTTACCTGAAGTGGGATGACAATCATGAAGATCTTCTTGTCTTTATCAGAAAGGATGTGTTTAATGAAAGCCCAGCCAGTGCCGATGAGTGCGATGGTGATGAACAGTAGTGCCCCTTTCAAACTGGAAGAGAACAATGAATACACACCAATGGGTCTTGTTAGACTCTCACTCTGCCAGTTAGACTATACAGCTCATTCTGTGAGTTCACATGCTTCTTGTAAAAGACAGGAAGCCAAATTCAGGAAATGCATCATATGTGAGCAAAACTTCTTTCAGGGCACACAGTTAGCTCTGCACCTGCTACCTGAACAGCTAATGGCCTCAGGGAGGCAGAAGCAAGCCAATAAGCCCAAATTCTCAAGTCTGGACAGCCACCTGTGCACCACACACCTTTAGTATGGAAAGGGCCCAAACAGCCTGCCACAGGAGGGCAGGGCCAGTCAATTTGGGGCAGGATGCTGCCTAGCCCCATTTCTCTTGTATGTCATTCATGGTATGAGTATTTCACATGTACCTGCATACTTACAGGTGAGTTATGTAGTACACAACAGCCCAACCTTCGATAGGAAAGCCCTGGGAGGAGATGTAGTGGTAGTCGATCTGAAATCAAACAACTGCATTTCAGAAAGGTTGATCTACCACGTCTTAGAGCACAGTGAACATGAAATGACCTTGGAGGACCTCAGGAGAGGGGATGTCCTCCCCCCCGCACTGCCTAATGCCTCATTTCTCAATTCACAATTAAGCATGTGAGTGCACTAACAAGTATCAGGTAGCTTAAGAAACTCGACACAAAATTTTAATGTCACTAACACCCAGCCCAGGTCTCTCTCTTAAAGGAAGTGATTCATTTTGGCAATGGCTGTCTATTCTTTTCTTAAAAACGTCGAAGGTCCAAATGCCACAAGTCTTTTCAGTATCCTGGCCAAGAACTTTATCTTCCATACTCCTGCTGTGCACATAAATAAATAAATCAATCAGTCAGTTAAAAAAAATCTATGTGGAATCACCCAGCTTCAACTATTTTTTCTTTAAAAAAATATGTAAACTTAGAGCTATGTAAAGCCACCAATAATGCATTTTAACAAGTGGCAAGTTTCAGTAGAGCATACAAAATGCCTCCTGGCAGAACTCACAAAGCTGACATCAATACACATCTTTCATTCTATCCAAATGGCTATCTAGACATTAAAGTGACTCAAGGACCCTATCATTCATTATCTACATGGCTGCAGAAAGCATCTTTTAACTTAGACCCAAATGGGAAATTATCCAAATAACTGTCAGTTCTTGACATTGTTACTGGATACATTATTGCTTTTTCCCAGGAGGACACTTTCCAGTGGAGCGGGAGAGTGCACGCTTCGAGACTGTCACCCTCACTGGTGTGCTTGGTGGGTACCGCGTAGGCACAGACTGGGGAAGTTGTGATCTTACCCCCATTGGCAAGTTCGTTTCAATTCACATCAGTCCTAAATATTCGAGCTGAAGCTTAATTCTTATGCCTCAATCTTTATATAATAGAATCAATTTTCTCTCAAATTAAGTATGCTAATGCTGAACTTCAAATCAAGTAGGAACTTGAGGGAATATTTGGAAACATGGAAGTCATGGAAACAACTTGGCAGGTGGCACTCTCATCTCAAGAAGTGACAGGAGGATGTTGGTATTGTGAGACAGGAGTCTGCCAACCTCCTCTTTGCTGGCAAATTAACAAACTTCTCTTTCCTTCTCCTCAAACCACTTGTCCTCATTCTTCTGATTTGGCCTCGGGGACAAGCGCCAAACTTTCAGTAACAATACTGAGGAGTGATCTAGCCCTTTGAGGGGACCTAAGGTCTAAGGTCACCTTTTCTGGAAAAGGTAACTCATCTCCAGGTCTGTCTTCTATATGCAGCTATCTCATAATAACCCATACTGAAATGTTTGTTTAGCTGATTATTTAATACACCTCACTCATGGAAATGGAGGGTAAAAACGACAACAAAAAAGAAATGACAAAAAAAAAAAGAAATGACAAAAACAAAAAAATGAAAACAAGTGTCCTAGAAAAACTGTGGGTCTGTAAGTAGTATCAGAAGATGTCTTAAGTCTCGTATTAGGGGGGGTGGTGAACATTTACCGCCATGGCCAGTCCCTCCTCGACAAAAGGGGGCTTCATGAGAAATCTATTCTTCCACCTTGTTTCCCACCAATCTATCCCTTTTCTTCTAATTTAGTTTACTTGCTCATATAGACATTGTACCTCATGTCATGAATGACCCCTAAAATGCTAATACATACTGCATGGAACACCAAGGAAAGAGACTTGGTGAAAGGAAGAGCCGCCATCAACCAGTGAATTTTAAATACATCATTCCTATAAAAAAAGAGAGAAAAGAATTAAAAGAAGATTCCATCCACCCAAGGGACAGCCAAAGCTCTAGGCATCAGCTATGTTTATAAGGAGATGCAATAAATATAATCTGACCAAACCACAAACACGAAACCTTTTTTTTAAAAAGTAGTTTTTGCTGGTAGAAAAGGCCTCGAATGGAGTCGTACAATCATCTCTAACATGCAACCGAATGTGTGAATGGAACTGAGAGTTATGCTCTGAAGCCAGACAGGATGGTTCCGAGTTCCGACAGGATGGAAATCTGACACAGGCTGCCTGCCGGCTTCCTCCCCAGAAACTACCCTGGGAAAGCCAAGAATGAGGCAGATGAATCTGAGAAACAGTATGGAATCCCTAGGAAAGCAGAAAGCATTCGGTGCAGCTATGGGGGAAGCCTGCAGCCCAGAGCAGAGGAGGGATGGGAGTCAGCAGCAGGATGGCAAGGGGAGGCACAAGGGTCATGCCCCTCTCCCCTCAAATGGCTGGTGCCTGACAAACACCCCAGGCCAGGGGGATAAAGCACCCACTCACACTCCAATGCCTCCATAGGGACTAGTCTACTTTTGGGCTGCCAGGCACTAAATTCCCCTATTCCTTCCCACTTGCCCCTAAGATTTAACTTAATAGGACAGATAAGACCATTATGCAGGAAAAATGGAAAACTCTATTAATAAAGTATTAACATACAAAGACTTGAGTAAGAGCCACAGGGAGAGAACTCACTCTCCCAGATATCAAGACGTTCTGCAAAGCCAGAGGTAGTGTTTATTCGTTATTCAGACAAATAAACCAATGGAATAGAATAGAGAACTCAGAAATAGATTCATGCATGTATGGAAGCTTGTTATATGATAAGGTGACAACAAATTGGTGGGAAAAGGATAGATTGTATAATAATTGACATGGGAAAAAATCAGCTAGAACTTATACAAAAGAACAAAGCTGGATGTCTACTCCACACTTATGTAGAAGGGGATTCCAGATGGATTTCAGCTCTAAATTTAAAATATACATTTTGTGAACTTAGAGTAGAAAAGGGTTTCTTAAGATCCAACAGGCACTGTCCAAGCCCAAAAGACTAAAATTACACAGCTTTGACTCTATTAAAATGAAAGATTTTTATTCAACGATGAATATACAGACAAGTTTAACAGACTGGAAGAAGAAATTTGCAATGTCTAAGACAGACAAAAGATTGATATCCAGAATATGCAAGAAACTCAAACAAAGCAACAAGAAAAAGAAAACCCAATAGAAAAATATACAAAGAATACAGGTGGTCACAAGAGGGAAAACTCAAATGTTTAACAAGTCCCTGAAATGATAATCCACATCACTAATATTCAGAAAAATGCAAAATAAAACAAGGTACCAGTTATACCCATTAGACTGGCAAAAATTAAGATATCAGTACTAGGGAGTATGTGGGGAAAAAGGAACCCTCATGCACCACTGGCAGAAATATAAACTGGCACGGCCATACTGGTGAGCAACCGGGCAGCACTTAGCGAAATTAAACGACAGTCTACAGACCACCCAGCGTGCCTCCTTCTGGGACTGTAGCTCCTGGGCTGCACAGACCCACAGGGGATCTCAGGAACAGAAGGGAGGTTCATGACAGCACTGCTGGGGTAGCAGGGAGATGGAGGCAACCTGGGCATGCGTCCATCACTAAAGGGACAGAGCAGTAAAATGTGGGGATGCAGGGTATGGAATGCTCTCGAGTAGGTAAAAATCAATGAACTGGATGCACATGTAGCCAGGGGGCCAGATCTTAAAAAAGGTATTACTGAGTGAAAAATGTACAAGACTAGTACAGTTTATATGTATTTAAAATATACACAACACCAATAAACATTTTCATTTATAAAAAAACACACATATCCAAAAACGCATGTTAAACATATCTGAGTGGCTATCCACGCTGGGAAGGAATGGGAGAGGGGACAGGAAGTGAAGGGGAATAATAATAGGAAAGGGAGCTTGCACAGAGTGACAATGAGAGCATGCCATGAACTGACGCACATTCAGTTTCCGGGCTCATTTCCTCCTCAGTACTTTCCTGTCCCAGTACCCACCTACTTGAAGGTCAAAAAGGAAGTGAAGGCCAGAGTAGTCTGTCACTACCGAATGGCAATGAGACTTACCCAGGGGCAAAACCAGTGCTCACTCACACACCCTGGCAACCTTGACTTGCAGTCCACAGTTAAAACTTCGAGCTGAGGCAGTACCGTGATAGAAAGAACAAAGCTCTGAAGCCACACTGACCTGGGCTCAAATACTAACTCTCCTACACTCAGAGTTGAGACCTGGGTTCCAATTCCAGCTCTGTCAGGCGACGCTGGCCATGTCTCTCACTTCCTCTCTCTAGGCCTCACTAAATGAAGCAAAGATCTCTCAGTTCCTTCCAGCTTAAGGGGATAGAGCCTGTGAAATGTACCTGACATCCGTGAAGCCACAAGCCTTTATATCACCTGGATTTCCAACCTGCCAGAACTGGCTGTAAGACTCCTGGGAAAATGGGAGTGGGGATGCAGGGGGAGGTCGGGTCTTAAATGAGATGTCCCTGTATGTACTCTATACTCCAACAAAAGTTAGAGATGAGACCTGTACAAAGTAGGTCAGCCTCATTTAACGACAGATTTAAAACTCTTACCATAATTTTATATAAGGGAACGAATGACTATTGCCATCACTAACTAAAGGAAAATTAAAATACCACTGAACACCTGGCAACTGAACTATTTTATAAGCACCTCATATTTGCATAGCACCCTGACTTGCAAAGCCCTCTCATACACATTATTCTGGGGGGAATCACGTAACCAATCTACGAATCTAAGACTCCTAGAGGAAGGCAGAGCAATTATTACTGTCCCAGTTTCGTAGCTGGGGAAAAAAGAGACTTAGAGTGAAGCAAGGCACACAGGCAGTCACAGTCAAAGTTGACACTTGAAATCAGGTCTCTGACTCCTCGTTCTTAATTTTCCAATAAAGGCAGAAGTAAAACTTTTTTTTTTTTTTTTTAAAAAAGAATCTTCTATGGCCTAAATTTGTAGGATATTTTCTTTCTTAGTAACGGCTGCCTGATAACCTAGTCTAAATATGATTACGGAAGTCCTTCACAAGTAAACAAGAAACTCTTTCCATGTGGTGGGGATACAGGATAGTAAGACAAATAGGTGCCAGCAACTGTACTCAGCCAGAGCCCACACACTAGATTCTGAGCATGTCCCTTAGAATGAGGCCACTAGGGATTAAAGAGGTTTCAATTTCTGCCCAATGCTTCAGAGAAAGAGGTATTTGGGGGTGATTATCTTATGAATTTAAATCAATCCATATTGTAATATTACACCATATTCACATACCATCATGTACTCAGTTTATAGGACTTATAACAAACATTTTACACTATTCTCTAACTGAATATTAATATTTCATTTTCAATTTTCTCAGTGAGAGATAGAGAATTCAGGCATATGCAGCTGCTCCCTGAAGAACCAAGAACAGGAAGTTAAAGCCTCAAGGGTTTCAGAAAAAAGGCCAAAAGCCAGGCAGATGCTTTGAAGATGTTTTCTCCAGCGGCAAGCATCTGGAAGTCAATACAGAGACTTTATCTATCCCCACCAGGCCTTGAGCCAATGCTTCAGGACTAAGCAGTGACCCGATGCTCTCGCCAAGCAGTGGGTCACAGTAACTAACTTCCTCTCAAGAATAAACAGCCCTTGAATGGGACCAATGTGCTCGCTCTGAGTCCTGGACTGTGGGGTTTCTGCTATGGAAACACTTTGCTTATACATCTTATTTGCTTGTATATTACTGAAATATTCAGATTTGCTTTTTAAACAGAACAATGGGACATGAATAGACACCAAGGCTTGCAAAGGCCTCCCCAAAAGTAAGGCTCCTGCACACTCTCCCTGGTGTTCCAGGGAAGATGCCCTTGGAAGAGAAGAGGAAGAAAACAAGATTGCTTAGTGCCAACTCCGCCCAGGTTCGGAAGCCAGTAAAAGGTGAAATTATACAAATCTGAACACACTCTTAAGTTGAAGGACTCGAGGAAGTAATAGTTTACCGTCGTTTTCGAAGGATGTGAATCCAGATGGTCCCAGAAAGGAAGAAGAAAAATGCCATAGAAATGTACAATTTGGGGAGAGGAATTTCTCCCGCTGAGAGGTAGCTGTCAGGATTCTTCTCTGTGATATCAATCTGAAACCAATATGCAATTAATTTTTACTTTTGAGGAATAGACTGTCCCTTATTCAGCAATTTGGAATCTCATCTATTTCACTCAAGCTTAAGAAAGTGAGGCCAGGAATGGTGGGTCATGCCTATAATCCCAGTATCTCGGGAGGCTGAGGAGGGATGATCTCTTGAGGCCAGGAGTTTAAGACCATCCTTGGCAACACAGCAAGACCCCATCTTTACATAAAATTTAGAAAAATTAGCCAGGCCTGGTGGTGCACACCTGTAGTCCCAGCTACTCCAGAGGCAGAGGCAGGATTGCTTGAACCCAGGAGTTCAAGGCCCAGTGAGCTACAATCATGCCACTGCACTCCAGCCTGGGGGACAGAGCGAGACATTGCCTCAAAAAAACAAAAAACAAAAAACAAAAAAAAACAAAACTGAGTACCAGCAGATAACAAGCACACTACATTCTTAATGCATAGGTTGAAGTGTGTAAACTCATCCTAAATTGCTTTACATTTTCTTATTTATGAATCCTCTGCTGAAGCATCCTGCCCGCTGGCAGGGATGTGTGACTGGCCACATTTTTCTCTTATGTACGTGCTCATAAAACCAATTCTTATAGAAATATAAACGCCTCACATTTTACACTGACAAAATCCACGTGGAATAGTATCCATATGGTACTCACATCAAGGCTGAATGAAAACTTGTCACCAGGCCGCAAGTCCTTTCCACGGCATTTATGAAAATAAAGACTGTACAGGCCTTCTTGGTCATCAGTGCTGATGTTAAAGAAAAACTGAAAGTAAAGGCAAAAAACATTTAAGAGTACCCAAATCCTTAGCTATATTTTTAAATTTTAGAAATAAATTGTGGTCTACGGCCATACCACCCTGAATGCGCCTGATCTTGTCTGATCTCGGAAGCTAAGCAGGATCGGATCTGGTTAGTACTTGGATGGGAGAAATAAATTGTGAATTTTATTGGACAGAAAAAAAAAAATAGACCACTTAAATTAATTAAATTCTCCCAGAGCAGAGTTTGAACATGTTTTCTTATTCTATGATCTCCCTGATATTTTGTTAAAACAATTTTCAAGCATACAGAACAGCTGACAGAATTGTACAGTGAACAGCTATACAGTCACTATCTAGTTTCTACAATTAACATTTTACTATACTTGCTTAAACACAAATCTATCCATCTGTGATGTTTTTTTGCAAAAGTCTGCAAAGATAACCTAAGATGCAGTTATCTAGTTTTCAAGCCAACATCTTATTTTGCTCTTTGGGTATAAAACATTTTTAGCTGGCAGGGTGGTTCACGCCTACAATCCCAGCACTTTGGGAGGCCAAGGCGGGAGGATCCCTTGAGCCCAGGAGTTCAAGATGAGCTTGGACAACATAGTGAGACCCCATCTCTCCAAATTTTTTTTTTTTAATTAGCTAGGCAAGGTGGCGTGTGCCTGTAGTTCCACCTATTTGGGAGGCTAAGGCAGGAGGATCGCTTGAGCCCAGGAGATTGAGGCTACAGTGAGCTATGATCATGCCACTGTACTCCAACCTGGGCAACACACCAAGGCCCTGTCTCAGAATGAATGAATGAATGAATGAATGAAGTGACGGAAGGAAGACAGGAAAGCACATTTTATATTTTCTCAAGTAGGCAGTAAAGCCTTAGAGTCAAACAAATCTGGATCCGAATCCCCCCCTTAGGCAAGTTACTTCACCTCTATAAGCCTCAGTTTCCTCATCTGTAAAAGGGGAATAATATCAGTACCTACTTCACAGAGTTGCTGGGAGGATGAACTGAGATAATGACGGATAAGCACTTAGCATGGGGGCGGGGCAAGAACAACATACATAACCTAAACATCTGTACCCCCATAATATGTTGAAATAAAAAAAGAAAAAAAAAAAAAAAAGCACTTAGCACAATGGCTGGCTATGGAGTCCAGTCATCTCCATAATAATTATTGGGGAGCCTACTATAGGCCAGGCCCAAGATTAGTAGCTTCATACACATCAGTAATAAAAGACACAAAACCCATGCCTTTAAGGCTACCTGCTACAGAGGGGGAGACAGACGATAAATATAATAAATGAGTACAGCATACAGCACGTTAGAAGGGATAAGGGTTCAGGAAAAACAGCAAGACGAGGGGGAACGAGAGTGGGCTACACCAAAAACAGGGTGATCAGGGGAAGCTGTATTGAGAAGGTAACATTTGAGCAAAGATGAAGGATTCTTAGAGATGAGCATTCCTGCCTGTGGGAACAGCCAGAGCAGAGCCTAAAGCCTGATCTTTTCAAGGAAGAGCAAGGTAGCCTGTGTGGGGGGCAGAGTGAGCAAGGGGAAAAACAGCAGGAGCTGAGGTCACAGAGACAACGGGGGCCAGAGCACGTGGTCCTTGCAGGCCAGTGGGAGGACTTGAGCTTTTACTCTGAGACAGATGGAAAGCCGGTGGAGGATTCTGAGCAAATGAGCACCCTGCAAGCTCTCAATAACTGTTAGCTATTAATATCAACGGTGATGAGAATGAGGGTTACTAAACTTAAAGAACATACAAAAATTGTTGGACAGGCAAAATGATCTATGGTGAAAGAAATCGGAACAGTAGTTGCAGGGGTGGAGTGACTTTCTGAGAAGATAAAAACATAGAGAATCTTAATGGAGAGTGGATTACATGGGTACATGCATTTGTCAAAACTGATCAAACTGTACACTTCAGACCTGTACATTTCACTGTAAGCAAATTATACCTCAATTAGTATAATAAAAACTGGTTAGAAAAGAGGCAGTGATTCTTACAAGTTAATACTAAAACATTATGTGTACAATAAAAAGCACTTTTACTAAAAAAAAAAGAAGTTCATAAGAATCCTATGAGATGGGTCTCATTTTTTATTTTTGGATCATTACACAGTGAGATTCGGAAATTAAGGGAATTGTCCAAAGTCACCCAGCTAATAAGTGGGTTCTGAGACCTAGTCTAACATCTTTTCCCCATATATATGCAGTGATGCTGCCCAAAAACATTCATGTGCAATTAATAACTGTGACAGTTGAGCAGGTCACTCAAGGCCTGAGTCTCAGTGAACTCACCTTTAAAATTCATCACCCTAAACCATCACCAATGGTCCTTTCTGGTATAGGATGCTATGCTTCTGGCACACTCTAAATGGGAGACAGCATGGGCTCAAAGAGGCAGAGGGGTCATAGGAACAGCCTGGCAGAACTGGACTGGGACCCGGGCCTTGTCATTTACACTGGACATTCACAAAGTTATTCATTCTCAGAGACTTATGATTTGATACGTGGTAATAATATCCACCTTATAGGTTTGTACAGAGAAAGCTACTCCATTCAAGTAACTAATACATGGTATGCCTAAGTTCTTACACCTAAATTCAAAATTCCTTTTAAAAATTACCCTTTTACATGATAGAGATAAATGCTATGAAGAGAATACATACCTGAAATGAAACTGCCCCATCATTATTATGAATAGAAAAGGATTTCTCTCCCATTGCCTAAAATGACATAACAATCTGTTTAAGGATGGTACTGGCAAAAAAAAAAAGTACATTAATTAAAATTAAACTAATTTAAAAGCCAAAACCATCCTTGTTCTTTCTTAAACCCTGAATTTGCTGAGCTTCAAAAGTTCTCTGAAAATAAAATTCACTATCCTTTCAAGATACCTGAAATCCCCTTTCACAGAGAATGGCAGTTCTTCAACTATTTCCTTTCTTCGGCTGTCTCTTCAGCCTCTCCGGTAACATTCTTCCTCCAATCCCCTGTCCCCAAATCTTCCTGCGGGAGTGCTTCTCTGCTCTTGAAGCTTCAGCAAGACTAAGGATGCTGAGCCAGGCCACACTCTGACACCACCTAAACTCTATTCCTGACTTCAAATGATCAAAATATTGCCCTTTGTACAATGGACTAATATTAAGAAATGAAAAGAAACAAACTCTTAATACATGCAACACCGTGGATGAGCTCAAAGTAATTACGCTGACTAAAAGAAGAATAAAGAGCACCACATAAATCATTTATACAAAGTTCTGTAAAACTACTGTAGTGACAGATCAGTGGTTACTTGGGGATGAGAGGATTACAAAGAGGCAGGAGAAACTTGTAGGGTGATAGGATACATTCACCATCGTGACTGATAAATCAAACATCAAATTGTCACTTTAAGCATATGCAGTTCATTGTATGTCAACTGTATCTCAACAAAGCTATTAAAATTAAACATTGCCATTTAGATACCCCTTCACTGAAAAATCAAGATATTTCAAAACAAAACTTTCCCAGTTTTCCCACTTCTGCATTTCTACCACCCTCTCCACTGCTCTTCTCTTCCCCTCCCACCAGCCTAACTGGCCTCCCAGAGGATCCCAAGGCCTGGCGCTAGGGCAAATCGTCATCGCCTAAATCTGTATTATCACAACAGTATCCTGGTCCCTCTCATGTTATTCTCTGCCTCTTCAAGGATACCCCACACATTACTTTCAGAATGATGATCTTCAATAAACACTACTTGTATCACATTCTTTCCTGATCAAGAACTCATGACGACTTCCTATTGCCTGTGCATCAGTTTCTTCTATCATCTGGCTCTATGTTGTCTAAGATGTCTCTCTCTCTGCTCCCAAATATGTACCTTTTACTTCAAACAGGCCAGTGCCCAGCATTTGTCATGCACATTCCCACTGTCTAGCCTTTGCTTATGATATTCTTCGTCCACTTCCTTCTCTTCCCTGAACGAACTCCAAGCCCAGCCCTGGTGACACCTTCCTCCAGAGGGCTCTCCACTCTCCAGATGGCCTGGCTTCCCCCTCCCCAACCACCTGACTCTATAGCACATAAGTGCTGTGCAACTTAGGACTCAATTTTCCTCTGAGATTGTTTCAGTATGTTAACACCATCTTCCTAAACAGAAGACAACTCCCTGTAGATTAGGCATGCACATATATACAGTTGGCCTTCTATAACGAGGGCTCTGTATCTATTGATTGAATCAACTGTGGATTAAAAAATATTTTTAAATAAATAATAATACAAATAAAAAGCAATAGAATCTAACAACTATATAGCATTTATATTGTATTAGGTATTATAAATAATCTAGAGATGATTTAAAGTAAACAGGAGAACGGGAGTAGATTATATACAAATACTATACCACTTTATATAAGGGACTTGAGCACTTGATTTCAGTATCCAGGAGAGTGGGAGTGGGTCCTAGAACCAAACCCCCATGAACACCAACGGATGACTGTATATGTATGTGTGTGAGCATGCACATATGTATATATATAAATACACACAACACACACACACACACACACATATATATGCATATCCAAGAACACTGAGCACAGTGGGTGGTTAGTTCTTACCTTTGGATCCACCGTACTTCTTTTAGACTTTCCACTATCTAGGAGCAGACACATTTAAAAGATATTACTGCATAATTCAACGGTATATACACACACACACACACACACATATATATATACACATACACACACACACACACACACACACACTGTTTTATATATAAATAGTATCATTTTATGAGGCTCCAGATTGTCTAATATCAAATAATTAAAACAAACAAAAAAATCTTATGGACTACTATATCCTCAGGTCCCAAAACATAATTCTTGAGCTATAGAAGCAGTAAATCAGAAATTATTAATATATTTTAAATGGCATCTAGTAAATGATACTAGTACCAGCAGGGAAACTCATCTCTAAATAATCTCGTGTATGGCATTGCCAGAGATGCCACATGGAATGGCTTTCCTTCCTAAGTCATCACATTTGAAAACAGGTAACTTTTTAAAAACATATAATGTGTGAGATTTATTTACACACATGGAAAAATTAATAGCAAATAATATTAGCATAATGCATTTTTTACCCACAGCAAAGAGTGTTAAGATCGCTAATGGCTTCTTTCATGGAACAGAGTGGGTATCTATGCCTTATTTTTACATAAGATACTCTTCACAGAGAACACAGGATTTCAAGCTCCCTGCAGGAAAGCAGAGTTTCAGAATAAAAAGAAAGAAACGACTATTTTCTGTCCAGGAAATGGTTATGAGAGCACAAGAAACCTGGACAAGAAAGAGATGGTGCACAGACATTAAAATCCACACCATCACACAAATGTAATATTTCTGTATGACATTTGAGGTCAGGTTTTGACAAACTGAGAAGAAATTGTATAAATAATACAGTAAGTCCAGTAAGTCATAAATTATCTTTAAAGAACTCATATAAATCATTAGATGAACCTGACAGTTAATAAAAGAGGTGATAAATGTAAATTGATTAAGTAACATACAACAAAAAAATGCAGCCTCAGTAATAAGAGTAAATATAAGAACAGGAATACCTTTTTTGTCTTTCATTTTAGAATTTTTAGAAAAGAAAATACCCACTATTGGCTAGGACATGGTGATGTGCACACTATTCCTATATATTTCTGATAGGAGAATAAATTCACACAACTCATTTGGAAAGAAATTGGAAAATATGTATCAATATTCTCAAAAGCATTCATATCCTTTGAACCAGAAATTCTAATTCTGGGAGCCCATGCTAAAATAAGTTCTCTATACGAAAAAGTTCTATGCACAAAGAGTCCAATACAGCAATATTCACAACGGCATAAGAATGGAAATGTGTCTCCTTAAGCAAATTACAGTAGACACTTAACTACAGTAAACAGACATGCATACAAAATTATAAACATGACTATGAATTTTAAAAATCAAATATTCTAGACTTATGAAATAAGCCTGTAAGAAAACATAAATTACCAAACTTCTAACACTGGGAATAAAGAGAAATGACTGTTATTTTCCCATCTTCTTCACATTTTCCACATTTTTCTTTAATGTTTACATGTTTTTGTATAGCCTCGAAAATAAAATAATGCTAAGACACAGAACATGTCTGTTTTTACTTAAGAACAAAAAACGATCTACAAATCAGGGTATGAAAATTAAATGCTAGTTTCCACCTTATCTAATAGTTTACCTTGTTTTTTCTGAGTCTGGTTGCCTGCTGCAACAGGAATAACATCGGGCTGCTGGCTCTGACCAAGGACTTTCTCATCCTTGCTGAAGATGATCTTTGGTAACTGGGTACCAGCTTCTGGTGGAGACTTTATTCTTACTCTGCATTCAAATAACACAGAAGGAAAAAAATTCAAAGCAGTGCTCCTGGGCATTTATTAAGTGCTGCATGCTAGGCACTGTGTTAAACTCATTAGTCCTTACGATGTTCTATAGTGTAGATTCTGTTATCCACATTTTACAGATGCTGAAACTGAGGCTCAGAAAAGATAAAAACTTGCCCAGGGGCACCAAGCTAGGAAGTAGCTGGTAGAAGATCCAGGCAGCCTCACTCTAAAGCCTAAGTTCTCAGCAACCACACAATTCTGCTGTACACATTTTGCCGTAAGTATCTTAAAATACTCAGCAAACTGATGCACAAGGGAAATGGAACAAGAGGCAAGAAACCAGTGAGATGCGAAAGTAAAGTCTCAGGGGCATGAGGAGGGCAGTGGGCCCTATCAGTTGCCGCCTAACATCCATGTCTGCCTTTCCCCTTCTTAACAGACCGAACTCTGTTTACCCTGTCTCACCCCAGGAGGGGCCAGTGACAGCTTCCACGCGTGAGTGAACATGCGACCTAAACTGGCACATTCAGGCACACCTCATCCTGACTGGGGGAGGAGCCCTCTCCCTCTCCCTCTGCTGGATACGAACGACAAGCAGAGCCATCTGGTGATGGCTGGTGAAACCTGCCTGAGGAAGAGGCTAACACGGAGGGTGGCAGAGCAGAGATGAAAGGCACTTGAGTCCCTCATAGCAGTAAGCCACTGCTGAGCTGCCTCTCACCTGGAACCCTTCTGTGCCATCTCAGCTAGGTGAGGTGATCAATGTCTTTACTGTTTAAGCCAGTCTAAGTCAAGTCTTTTGTTGCTACCAAAAAAAGCATCTTAACTAATATAAGACATTGTCAGATTAATTTTCCTAAATAAAAAAAGATGTTATCGTGAAGAATATAAAGTTAGAGTCTGCAACGGTTTTATAGCAAAACACTTTTTTTTTTTAGATGCTTCTTCATTAGTCTTCCTGCCTCTAATCTTGTTCATCTCAAATCCATGCTCTTCTGGGCTGCTAGTGGTCTATCCCAAAAGCAAGTCAGAGCACACTATTCCTAGTTTAAAACCTGTCAGGCTCTCTTAGAAATTACACATCAGGGACCTATCAAGTGGCCAGGTAAATGCCAGAAATCCTCACCAACAATCTTATGAGGCAGACACTATCATTATGAGGTAGGTAAGGACACTGAGGCCCAGAGTCACACAGCTGCTGTGTGGCAGAAGCCATTGAACCCAGTCCTGTTTCTTACCATGTTCCCTTCCAACTGTATTCTATCAATAATGTACCCCGCTTATCGAACAAACCATGCTATTTCATGCCATGCTGCCTTTGCAGATACTGTTCCCTCTGCCTGCAATGCTCTTCCCTTTCTTACTCGTCTGGTAAAAGCCTGCTCCACAGAAGGCTGCTTACGCCAGCTCTTGCCTGAAGCCTTCCCTTCCCTTCTATTGATACAATTCATGAGTTTTCTTCCCCACCACTTCTCTGCTCGGCTGTGATCATCTGTATGGCTGTCCTGTCTCCCTCACTCATCTATACTAACCCCTGAGGACAGAGCCTCTGTCTCCCTCACCTTGTTTTTAATCTCCAGCACTCATACAATATTTGGCACATGGCACACACCCAAGGAATGTTACTGTACAACAAATTCTCCCCAACCCTACTCTAGGACTGAACTGAAGGAACATTAGAATTACTTACTCACTTCTGGAGATGTCTAGGATTAGAAGAGTGACAGAGGCAGATTCTTTCTTTAAAATACAGTAATTCACATCTTCATCCTGAGAATGGAAGAACCAATTGTACATCATCTCATTCCTTCACATGAGAACAAGAACAGAAAAGTTTCAGGAACAAGGCAAATGAGTGGCTCAACCTCTATTCCAAACAGTAAACCAACTGTGGGTGCTCAGAAATGCTTGGCAGTCAAAGCAGCCACTACCTCGAGAAAATGGCACTGCAAGAAGTAGGGTGTTCCCACTCAATGGCTTGGGCTCCAGTGCAGACAGTGATCAGGTCATGCATTTAATACTTACCAGGTAAGAAGAAAAACCATCATTCTTTGTACGGTCTAGGCTGAATCCAACCTAAGAGAGAGCAAACGGAAGTAACTTTCCTACTCAGAGCAGAAAGGGTGATTCTTCTGGCCTGGCTTCCTCTCAGTTTTCCTAGCATTCATTTTGCATTTACTTGCTCAGGTAAAATAACTGATTACTAGAATTATTCAAGAATTGCAACTTAAGTGTTAAAAGTAAAACTATCTGATGTCTAATATATAATTTGGTACTCACAAGTTTACTTTTCTCCATATTCTGATACTTTATATTTAGGCATTGGGGTTGGAAGGTGACTCTTTCACCTAAACTAAAAGAATAAACCCCTTTATCTCATAAAAAAGTACTTACAGTGGTATCCTTCTCTCCTTCAGGCTCCTTCACTGACAGGCTGCTGACGTTAACCACCATGTACCCATCCTTGAAGAACCCAAAGGTGTTCAGATGAACCTTATGCCTCACGTCATCCTAAAGAGATTTGTAGTGGTGGAATTAGCAATATGGAAAAATTAACTTTTGATTATTTAACCTATTCATTAGCTTGAAAAACTATGGTATCTGGTTTCCTGTTAGCCAGCCAATATTTTCATATGCTTAATTATACACATAGCTGCGGTAATTACCTTTCTTCAAAAGCTGAAGACAATGCCTCAGACATTCAAAAGATACCAATATTTTTAGTGGAAGGAATCACACGATAGAGTCAATTCACTCTAGTGCATTTGTGTGGGCTCTAGGGGCAAACTCGGTGGTCAGCTGGAATGTGAACTCCAAGGCAAGAAGAACCAAGATTCAGTCCTATCTGTAGCCTTCCTGACAGTACAATGCCTGGCATCCAGTAGGCACTCAAAACATGTTGGGGGGTAGGGAGGAACGAAAGGAGTGGCCAACACTGCTCCAAGAATATGTTCATTTATATAGATCTTCTTATCAGTTTGTGTGTACCTGGCTCCTCCCTTCACCTTACAGGATGAAGAGTGGTACCTGCACAATAATTTAATTGTTTAAAAGGTTCATTTACAACTAAAAAGGATACAGTATACGATAGGTTTTCAAGGAACAAAGCCTTATGCAAGAAGAATCCCAGGAACCAGTCACAGGGAGACAGAAGCTTTTGGATACAGGATAATCCTGAGTTGTCTTTTTTTTTTTTTTTTTTTGAGCCATGGTCTTGCTCTGTTGTCCAGGCTAGAGTGCCGTGGCATCAGCTGAGCTCACTGCAACCTCAAACTCCTGGGCTCAAGTGATCCTCCTGCCTCAGCCTCCCGAGTAGCTGGGACTAAAGGTATAAGCCACCACACCCGGCTGCCGAGCTTTGATAAAACTGCATCATGTGGGCAGATGGCTATCCCACCTGTGTGATACTGTCTCAACATCAACATTCCAATCTCAACTATGTCGACACATTGTAAGGCCAACAGAACAATGGTGCTAGTGAATACTTCTAAGACTGGAGTTCCACAGAGATATTTTTTATTGTGTAAAGTTGAGTTTTATATTGAGATTCATTTGCCTAAATTGCAACACCTTTAATAAGTATGCAGTTTCTTTGTGTGAAGTGTAATTTTTTATTTCTAGACTTGGGATTCTTGGGCATAGTGTAACGGCAAACACCAAAGGCCTGTGTCAGGAGAGGCTGCGGATCAGACCTTCAGCAGGAACAATATGAACTCCATCCCATCCCCTTGCCCACAGAGCTACAACACATTGTATTGCCACTAGGAGGATTTTACTTCCTAGCCCTTCCTTCCATTCCAGGAACAAAGCTTTTTGAGCATCCTAGATTATGGGCTGAGGAGGAGAGGGACACAGTTCCAATGTGCCCCTCTGCTTGGGCCTAAGGCTTTGGTCCCGGTTTCCCCTCAACACCTGTTAAAAATCCAAGGCTCTAGGGTCCAAGTTCCTGCAATGCCTCAGGGCAGCCCTGGCTTCCCTGCTCTTTTGCCTGCTGGGGTTTCAGCTCCTTCTTCCCTTTTTTTGGCCCCTGGAAATTCCCCTTATTTTCTTAGGAGTTCAGCCGTGCATTGAAAGCATGTTTGCTGGACTTGCACTGCTCAGTGGGATGGAGCAGCTTGCAGCAAACCAGCACTCTCACAGAGAACATCTAGAAAAGCCAGATAAGTGGACAAAGGTCATCTGCTGGAAGGCAATGGTAAAAAAACAGAAAAGCTAAGACTCACAGCCTTTCCTGGGATTCCTGCGGAAAATGATTTAACTATATTCCCAATTATCCCAGGGATAGTACGTGGCTACTACCATCCTAGATGCACAGGAGAGAAACTAATTCAACTACATACAGATTGAGGTTCCTTAGCACACAAGGGCTTAATTCTCTGGCAGAATCCCCAGCTGAGCAGGGCTGCAGAGAGAACGAAGAACATGTAATGCCTGCCACATACAACAACATGGATGAATCACACAGATACAACACTGAGCAATCAAGCCATACTCATGCAGACCAAATTCAAATGCAGGAGGGAATCCTCTATAGTGATAGAGGTCATGATAGTAATTACTCTTGGGAGAAAGGGACTTTCCTGTCACTTGAGGGAATGGGAGGCTAAAGGAGCTTCCAGAGGGGCTCAGTAATGGCTTCCCGCTGGCTTTGAGAGTGTTCCACGGTAGAAATGCACTGAGTTGTATGTTCATGAGTAATTTTTAGAATGCACATTATACTTCAACAAAGTTTAAATTTTAAAAGTATGCTTCTTCTAATTTATCCAGCATGTAGATGCTTTGTAGCAGAATGGAAACAGAATGAACTACACTCATTAGGGTTTTTTTTTTTTTTGAGAAAATGTTTAAATTGCAACCATATAGCAGTTCCCCCTCAACATAAACAGTACATTCCTTTACTATTTTTTCTTACCTTCATATCATCATTTCATTTGATGAAATAATGTCATTAAAAAGTTTGTGAAGAATATTATAAACAGTAAGGGCTGGGCCTGGTGGCTCTCACCTGTAAATCCCAGCACTTTGGGAGGCCGGGGCAGGAGGATCAATTGAGGCCAGGAGTTCGAGACCAGCCTGAGTAACACAGCAACTCCATCTCAACAAAAAAATTTTTTTTAAATTGGCTGGGCATAGTGGTGTGCACCTATAGTCCCAGCTGCTCAGGAGACTGAGGCAGGAAAATCACCTGAGCCCAGGAGTTCAAAGTTAACAGTGAGCTATGATCATACCACTACATTCCAGCCTGGGCAACACAGCAAGACCTTGTCTCAAAAACAAAACAAAACCAAAAACAACAATAATGGTATCACAACTCCCAGTTTTCAGCACTTTCTAATAACTGGGTCACGTGCCAAGGGCTTTACCTATGATTTCTAATCCTCACTAAGCCCACTGCAGTTAAGAATAGTATCCTCATGACAGGCATCAGACAGAAGTTCAGAGAAGTGACTACACATGACCACAAAGACTATAAACAGTAAAACTGGGATTTCAACAAAGATCTGATTTGAAAGCCATTTTCACACTATTGTCTCCTAATATGGGAAAGTAATCATGATATAATAGTAAATGCAAAGGCAGAACCCAAACTATATATAGTAAGATTTGAGTTCTTAAAAAGAAAAAAAATTAAAAGGCATATACATTTACCCTGATTTATTTATAAAAGACTTGAAAGAAATTCACCAAACTATGAAAAGGTTAGTGCCAAAGGGATTGTGGAAAATAATTTTTCTTTACATTTTTCTATATTTTCTAAATTTCTAACAATGCTCGATTAATTTATAATTAGAAAAAAGATCAAATGTTATTTGTAAAGAAAGTATTACCATTTGCCAGTAATCTACCTGTAGGAATCTCACCTAACCTCACCTCTACCTCCATTTTAGGTTATCATATCACCATGTCAAATAAGATATGTATAGAAGTGACTCTGTAAACTAGTCCTCAATATGCAAGCCATACATAGAAATCTTGAGACTAGAAGGGAGACACAAGCAAGGAGGGTTTGCCAAAGTAGTGTGAGGATGACAACACCAGACACAGCAATGGAGATTTAGTTACATCTTCAATCATTTCCATTAGCACTGACATAGCAGTAAAGTTTGCTGGTTTCACCAAGGATTTCAGAGATTGCAGGCACTTGACTTTGTATCCAGTACTGAGCTAATAGCTTCACATATCAACAGGCATTCTTCTAACAACTCTATTAGGCAAGTGTAATTATGCCCATTTTACAGACGAGGAAACAGAGGGTCAGACAGTTCAAACTTGCTTAAAATCAAAGGCCAGTAGGTGGCAGGGCCAGTATTCTAACTCATGATTACTTAAACTCCAAACCTATGCTTTTAACCACCTCATACTTTTTACAACCAAACAAATGATATATCTTTTGTTTTGTTTTTTAAAACTATTTTTGTTTAGAAAATTTGAGGCCAGCATGGTGTGGCTCAAGCCTGTAATCCCAACACTTTGGGAGACTGAGGCAAGACGATTGCTTGAGCCCAGGAGTTCAAGACCAGCCTGGATAACATGGTGAGATCCTGTCTCTACAAAAAATTTAAAAATTAGCCTAGCATGGAGGTGTGTGCCCACAGTCCCAGCTACTTAGGAGGCTGAGGCAGGAGGATGGCCTGAGCTCAGGAGTTCAAACTTCCAGTGACCTATGATGAGGCTACTGCACCCTAGCCTGGGTGACAGCGAGACCCTGTCTCTGAAAAATAGAAATAAAATGAAAATTTGAAGCTATCAACTCATGGTTAATTTTGTTCCTCTATACTCTTCCCCACCCCCACTTTCAATTATTTAGAAACAAATCCCAGATATCCTATCATTTCATCTACCAATATTTCAGGGTACATCTCTGATAAGGGCTTTAAAAAAAAAAATCACAATAACATGGTATATTCTCAATCATAATAAACTGCTTATTAAGTTAATTAAACAAGATTTTTCACCCATAAGAAGTCAAGGTTACAGGACACAAAATATATTAATAGTACTGTTCCCAGATATATATCTATAAAATTGGTACTAAAAACTTATGGTTATTCCTGGCTTTCCTCACAAACATATCTGAAAGCAGTGGGAACACAACTGGCCCTAACACATTTATAATCTTGCAAGTACTGATCCAAATGAGGGAGCGGCCAGGTGCAGTGGTGCGTGCAGGTAATCCCAGCTGCTAGGGAGGCTGAGGAGGGAGAGCTGCTTGCGCCCAGGAGTTCAAGACCAGCCTGGGCAACATAATGAGACCCTGTCTAAAAAATGGGGGATGGCGGGGAGCAAGCATTAGTTTGATGGTGATGAGGCAGTGTCAATTAATGTATACTTAATTTACCACACAGGCTCTCATTAGAAAATTCAGCACCAGCAGATTATTCTGGATAATTTCAGATTATTCTGAAATGCTTGCTCTTATTTTCAATAAATTATTTTATAAAATTAAAACTTCATTTTAGGATTTAACTTTTAAAAATCAAATTTAGCTTGTTAAAATTATAAATGACGAC